CTCATTTCTTTATTTCCTTAAATACATATTTTACAGAAATTTAATTTTATGATAATATTTATTCTAAATCAAACAAATAATATATTTTTTTTACTAAATCTATATAAATTATATATATATAATGTATGTGTATATATATTAGTTGATTTTCTCTGTCGTAGAGTAAAAAATTGAAAAAAATCTATAATTTTTGTTGAGTGAAAAGATGAAAATTTATTTATATTTTATTAAATTGTTATAATTTGTAATTCCAATTGTGTTTTCGAATTGTATTATTTTCATCATGTATCAAATATATTGTTTTTTCAATTGAGCCTCTCTCATTTTATTTTTTAAACTTATTTTATAAACACAATTTAAGAATATAAAAGACACTGCATTCCACACTATACATAATGTCAAATAATTCTAAAAAATAACAACACATATAATATGAAATTAACAACAACAAATATGTCTAATAATATCTTTTTCTCCACTGTAATAATATTTATATTCTTTCATTTATTCACTTCTTATATATATACATATAATGATCCAATACTATAATTTAACTTTACTTAATATATAATAATTTTTGTATAAATTGATATCAATAAATTTTAATAACAAATAGACGAATAAACCGCGCATCGCGCGGGTCTCTCCTAGTATTATATAACATTATTATAATCTCAAATCTTTTCATATTTTCGATGTGGTCCTTCAAATTTAATGAAATAAAAAAACAGATGTTTAAATTTACAAAATAAATACTTGGATTTAAAACTAGAATCTAAACAGACGGTGGATAGGTAGATTTCAAAAAGTTTGGTGTGATACTAATACAGATGAAGTGTAATGAGGATATAGGTAGAACGATAGTAATGCTAGTGTCACAAAAGATGTTGTAGTTTATAATAGTTTTTTTTATAATCCGAAATTTCTACATCTTTCACACACGAGAAAAGGATAAATCCAAGTGGTGAATTCTCTATTCTAAATAGAGACTCGAATTTTGATTTGGAAAAAGATTTGTTCTATATATTATCATTTAAATTATCCAAACGTGAGTGTATATTTTATAATATTTAGATCTAAAAACGTATAATAGCGATTTAAATACATGGGTCACCCTTTAACAAAAAAATAAATAAATAAATACATGGGCCGATGATTAAAATTTTCTAATCAAATAATTAGAGTTTAGAGATCTCTCACAACGTTTAATCGTACAAATTCTATATCATAATAGAGAAACATATAGTGAATTTCTCATTCAAAATAAATCATGACAATATTTTATATTTATGTATACTGAATATAATCTTACCATATGTTATTTAACTAATATAAATATAGAAATGATATAAAATCTCAATTACGATAATTAAAACATTTATAACCGTAAAAATCGCATGGATAACTATGTATAAGATCATTGTTGTGTAAATCACATGTAATAATGAATTTTGGAGAGATTTTTTTTTCTCAAATATTATCACTGAACAAAATTGGTTTGCATCTCTATTTCGCCACCCGTAATATTTGCAATTAAATAGATTTTAGTGAAATAATCTTTTTTTTTTCTTTTTTGAAACTTTTTTTGTAAATAAAAACAATTTGATATTTTAGCATATGTTTTAATGTTTACGTATCAACTTTATAGCGGGGATGATATGTGTTTTCATTCATGGGTATGAGTAAATTGTCGTTACTCTCATATGATTTATAATAAAGTTTTTTTAAGTAGATGAAATTTTAGGGCTTTTTTGGTTTGTCTAAAAGAGCATCCGTTAATATATATATAAAACTTATAAATCATTAACCGAAGTGAATACATATATATATATATATATGCTGAAAAAAAATTTAAATTATGATACATTTTTCCCAAAGGCACAATGGCCATTTTTTTTTCTAATTAGAATTATGATACAGTTATAATCTCCCCTTATAATATCTCTAATGTTTCGTCAAAATTTTCATTGATTGGCCGACGGTTGTCTTAGATTTTTTTTTTTCTGTAATGCTTTCTTAGAATCTTCTTCTAATCCATAAATTCAATATTAATGATTGTGGACAAAATAAAAACACACATATTCACTGCGGCCCGTGAATATGATTCTATAAATTTCCGGTTAAATTGAACCAAAATGTTTCCACACGTTCTGTTTTTGTCCATCGAATCAAATATAAAACAAAATTATCTTACCAAAAATTGATTTGATGCGCATTTCTTTAGTAACTAAGCCGGTTATTTGTCACTAATTTTATTCGTCGGATTCGGGAATATAAAACCGGTTTAGCTATCATCTATCATACCAAATCGGTTCGAACCGGGTTTTGTTCATGTCAGCCTTTATGGTGGAACTGGTTCTGTTAGGTCTAGGTAGTTCTACGAATCTCGCAACTCAATGTGAACAGAATAGATTCGGGGCCCACATTATTAAGATTATCGTTTAGTCATGTGTCGTGTCGAGGAACGAAAGGATCTTGTTACACGTGGCGCCCGGAGATGATACCAACGCCGACAACATGATATAAACAAAACTGTATTGTTTGGACAATTTTCAAATTAGAAAAATAAAACAACACTAAATGTTACTATTAGACATTGTATCCAAACAATATAATATAACGTGAATTGAAAATTCTTTAAACATTCGTGTTAGCTAATTACTGGTTCAAATGCATTACAAATAATCTATATGTTTTAATTTATATGAATTGTTAGGAATTATTTTTGCCCCATATCCTCATTTTCAATGCAAACTATTGTCATTATTTTTTCAAAAACCTCACCATTCATAAAAATTCAATATCCACTTTTATAGTGTCGATATTAATTGTCTTACTGAATTTCAAATGATATTTTCGGTTAAAAAATTTATAAAATTTTATATAAAAAGAATAGCGATCGCACAAGTTGGAAATATTTAAAAAGATACCCAACAGTTTGTGGGCGAGTGGTCAGCAGTTGGATGCAGAGCACTCAGAGGTTGACGGTTCGATTCTTGGTTAGGGAGGAGTTTCCACATGAGCTGCTCCGGTTCTCTGGGAGATGTAGTTGGGCCAAAGGTCCGGTGAACTCCCAGATTATCAAAAAAAAAAATTTAAAAAGATTCCATGTCTATTGAATTAGTTGACTTGTCATTGAGTACGACGTCCAATTTATTTAAATCTTGTTCGCATTTTCCACTCCACAATAATCATATTATTATTATTATTATTATAATTATAACTAAAAAAATCATTTATATTATAGCTATAATCTGGTATATATTTTATCGTTACTAACAATTCAAAATGGAACGGAGAAAACAAAAATATTTAATGATAATGTAATTAAAAGACAAAAAGATTCACATCACAATAAACCAAACGTGAACGCCAAGGAAACGAAGAGTGGCCTTCGCTCTCTTTATTTCTATTGTAATAAAAACTCCAAGACAGTACAAAGTTCATCTCATTGCCCCATCACCTGAAATAACAGTCTCATTAGTAGCATTTAACTAAAAATAATAATAATTTAAGTATATAAAAATTATATTATACTCAAAATTGTTTCTGAAAAATCACGCGGGTTTAATATCTCTAAACCCATGAAGAAAATAGTGTAAAATCTAGTGTTGAACATATTCGTTGTCGTTATATTTGTGTTTTATTAAAACTATATATACATTTGATAAAATTATATCTTTATATTTTAATAAATTAATTTTGAATTCCATTGATTAAAATTTTCATTAATTTATTTATTTTATAAATATTTATTTTTATTCCGTTGTCTTTATATTAATTTATATTCAATTAATTTGATTTTAAAATATTATATTTTATGATTTTTGTCAATATTAAATAATAAAATAATCTAAAACTTAGGAAACTGACACAAAAAATATTTGTATTACACAATAAAAAATCCAATGCAAATATTGGAATATATTGTTTGTATTTTCTATTCATTTCTCTTTCAAAAATCCGAAAGATAAACGACATATGTTTCTTTCACTTGATTTTTTTTTAATTCTCTGTGTTTTCTAATTCTTTTTTAAGATAGTAATAATGAAAAATGCGACAAAAATATCACATAGAAACATATCAAATCAGGCGGGAGAGCAAGGGATTGGTTACCATTCCGTAAATGTGTGAAATACAGAAACTTCCTCCAATAAATATATTTTTCTTTACAGATTAAAATCTAACCAAAATGGGCATTCACTTTCCCTAAACGCACTTTCAAAGCAAAAGAGGAAATAAATCTTTGCCAACAAAATTTGTAGATACTCTTCACCCAATTACACACACCAAAGCGTAACAAAACCTACAAATATGCCCACAACTCCCCTTTTTCCGTTGTATAATATAACACATAAAAGCATCACCAATCATACACACCTATATTTAACACACCCACTACATGCAATGCATGCATGACAACTCACCCTTTCACTTTAAAAGCTTATGGGAAAAAGGAAACAGAATCTCCAATTTTCTCCTCTTTTTTTTTTATACATATATACAAAGAAAAATTTTAAAAAATAAGTGAATTTATCCATTTTTATAAAATAAAATCTAAACTTTATTTTTTATCAAATAAAACTTCAATTTTATTTTTCATTCGAAAATAAATACAAACTTATAATTATCGTCATTTTTAAATCAAAATACTGATTTAACCTATAGATATTCTATATATCAAATCAACATTTTAATTATATTTGACACGTCATCATCCATATATTCCAATATTAATGCATCACATTAACGATAAATTTAAAAATAATAATTATTATAAAATTGAAATTTATTTATAACATAAATTATTTTAAAATTTTATTTGATAAAAAAATATAATTTAAATTTTATTTTGTGAAATTTGTGAGCAGATATTGTTTTACAGATTTTTTCTATATATAATTATTTCTTCTAATCGCAACCGTCTTATGCACAATGAATGTGTATTATACAATGATGTAAACATAACCCATGAGAGAAATCAAGAAAAATAGTAGAAATAGAGATAAGAAACACCATATATATATATATATATATATTTACAAGATAAAGCTGTCAATTATGATAATTAAGACTGCCTTTACCTTATCCCCAATCTATATGAACAATCACACTTATGTTCTATCATCTATGTATCTAATATTCACACTTTTGTCCTTTTCTTACTTCTCCATAATCAACATTTCCTTTATCTATTTGTTAAAATTCCCAACATCTATCATATATTTAATTTAAATTCCCTTTTATTCCCACTTTTTGAAAAGAACGCCTTTTTTCAGAAGGGAGCTCGGAAAGGTATACCCTTTCTTCGCCGGCGGCGAGGGGAACTCCGGTGGCTGTAAATGGGAGGAGTCCCCGGAGACACAACATTTGCGAACGTCTCGTCCCCAGAGCTTGTGGACCGTTGATCATGATCGACCCTGATAGAGACTCCATCAATTAAACGGCTGAAAATCCCCGTCTTCCGGATCTTCGCCGGCGGCGCCTCGGCTTCAAAACAGAACATGTTTCTGCCACTCTTTCCTCTGAGAGCAAATGTGAGATTCGAGTCTCCACGTTTGATCCCTCCAAGCTAAAAGACCCAAATCGTTATTTAATTTGTGTATGTTATAATACGAACACGAAATTACCCCAACTGAGCAAACGTTTCAAGAAAACGTATGGGCAAGAGAAACGTTCTAACATCTCTGATTTCGTGTCGGATGAGAAAATTTTCAACCCAATTGAAAGAAAACACATATATAATTGACCAAAACTCATTTCATATCCAAAAAAGTCAACTGTTGAGAAGAAACCGATTGAAATATCGATGAAGATATGTAACGTGAAGTTGAAGAAACACACCACTCATGTATGGAACGGATGGATTGGGAAATCAAAATTAGAATTCGCGTAAGAATCCATTGGGATTCGAGGTACCTTGCAGCCGAGAGAGCAGAAACGGAAGGCGTCGAGGAGGCTACGGTTGCAGATTTCGCAGTTGTTGGTGACGCCTTTCCCGGGACGAGGCTGAGGTCTCTCATTCAGGAACAAGATCTTCGCGCTGTTGATAATATACGTTTGAACGCAGGAAATGTCGATGCACTTCTGAATCTCGTTCACTCGAACCACGTTGTGGTACGAAGATCGTCGAATCTGCGGAAGAACACGGGGAAAAAGTAAATGAGGGGTTCGACGAAATTCCCCAGAGAAGATAAGGTAATGGGTGGGGAGAGACAAGACGAACCTGGACGACGCGATGATCCTTGTGGTGAATCAAACAGTAGGAGCAAAAGGCATTTCCCATACAGTCCAAGCAGAACAAATTGCACTCGATCTTGCTCGAATTGACGTGAACAGAGCAGGGGAAGAAGTACTCAGCTCGGAGCATCGGAACCAGCCATGGCGGACCCATGACGTCATCGTTCTCCATTCTCACCACCTGACTCACCTGAAACCCACCGACCCGGAAGATTTCAGGAACAGCCCAGAATCCAAATCGATAAACACAACTCAATTCCCATAATAAACGGATGCTCGAAGTGAATGAGACTGAAGCAGGAGCAGAGTGACTACCATCGTTGTGTCTTGACCGAAGCCGGCGACAGCAATAAAACGCCAGCGGTTATTGCGTATCTGAAATGGTTAAATCACGAAATGGGTCATCAAAACGAGCAACAGGAAACACCATAAAACAGAAACAGATGCATTCACCATTGACGGAGCCATTGGAGCTTCTCAATCAGAACAATAAGAGCCCAGATATTGATAAAGATAAAAGAGGGAGACAGAGAGAGAAAACCTATCGAAGAAGATGGGGAATCGGCGTCTTCGCTGTATCCCCTGTGGGATTACAGGACAGGAGATGAAGAAGGAGAAGAAGGAATTTTACAAGACGCTGAAAACGAAAGGGCAGACTTATTATTACTTCTCCATGAGGCGGTTCCTCTCTGATAATACCTATATGATATTTTTCTTTTATGCATCGCTTCAGAAAATTCTCATAAGCAAACTTTACAAAACAACCCCTCTATTTACATTTCTTAACTCAGAAACCCCCAAAGGTTTTAATCAATTTTTGACGGTTCAACTTCAACATGACAAATATCCAAACCATAAATTTCGATCTCGTATTTATTATCTTCAGTATTAATACATTAGTATATATATAAAATATATAAATATCATATTTTAAAATCTTTTGATCTAATTACGGGTGCGGTATCAAATAAAGATGAAAGGGGTGAGGGACTAAATGGATTCTAATAAAATGAATGATCTTTTTATGTAATTCTTGAGAAAAATAAAATAATATTGGGGGGATAAGGGAAAATGAAACGTGCCCAAATATTAAAAAAGCATAATTTATCATAAAAATTAGAAGGTGTGGAAGGGGGACAACGAACGGCTGGAGATTCCATTTCCTTTAAACCTGGACCGTATGATCCTATTAACTTACGGAGTCTAGTTTAGCCTACAGACGGGTCCAGCGTAACTAGCATACAGCCATCGTTCGTAACCATCCGATGAACCGATAGGGTTCTAAGGTCGGGTCCCACCTAAAAACCCGCCATATGATATGTAATTGCAATATTTAAAAAAAAAAATCAAGAATACAATAGTTTTCCTAGTAGTCTTTTTCTAATTTAAATAAGAAAAATTGTTAATTCACTAAGAAAATTTATACAAAAATATCCCACTTAATATTTTTTTTGAATAAAAGGGACTAAATGTTCAGTAGAAAAACTAAACTATCCAAAATTAACTAAAAACAATACTCATGAAAAATATATCGTATTTTTTATAAATTTTATTTTTTTCGTTGTGAATGAAATTTTATTTCAATATTTTCCCCTGCGAAATAAAATTTAACGTTCCCTGCATTCTCATATTAACACAGAAGTGGAGCGTTATAACTAACATATGTATCCACATATCTATAACAAAATGTTTTGAAATAAAAAAATAACTCATTATTTGTTGATTGATATATAACAAATATATGTTAAATTTGTAAGAATTTCGAACCCGATATTTCATCAAATACAATAATATTTATAGTGAGGCGAATTTTTAAAAATTATTATGGAAAGACTAATAAAATATGGGAAAAATACAAAATATGGGTTGTATAGAGTTTCCAGAAAATCAATGCTAATTTTTATTAGTTTTACATAAATTAATTTATATAGCTAAAAACTAGTTTTAATGGTATCGAAGCTCTAGCAATACTAATATTCTACTGATATTCCGATGTAATCTTTATTATATGCTCGAATATCTATGTAATTATAACACGCATCTAATTGAATTTTTTAATGATAAATGGTGTATGAAAATGGTTGATATCAATGCCTTGTAAGGCCTGCAAACGGGCTTAGAATTTGATGAATTAACGACAGTTTAATTAAACGTATTTTTTTAATATTCATGTGGCATTTTTATTTTGCCATGGCCACAAAAATTGATTGCAATTAAGATTGGTCTTATTGATCTTTCAAATCCGAAAGTTTAACACGAACTCGTTAAAGACTCGAGAGGACAATACTAGGATGGTCATTTCGGATTTCGGATTTCGGCTCAGATTTGGTTCAATTATTTCAGTTATAGACGAACTATAAATTTTGGTTCATATTCGGTTTTTATGTCGTAAAAAACTTATTTTTCAAAGAAATTATCGGTTTATTTAGTTATTTTTTAATTGGTTCAATTCGACTCGATTTCGGTTTTTTTTGGGTTTAGAAAAATCATAACCGTTCGAGTTTTATATTGTATTTAGTTCGATCATGATTATATCTTATTCAATTCAGTTCAATTTGACAATTCAATTAATAACCACAGTAACCATAGTAACCAAAGTGCCCACCTCACGAGAAGACACCGATCAGTTCATCTGTTTTCGACAGAGTTCGACCGTCTGGTTCTGGTCAAGGTATGTTTCTGATAGTTCCAATACTTAAAATTTTGAAGGATACCGGGTGACCATAATATCCGAAAAAAACCAAACCGATAACCGAAAATTCGGATACCAATACATGAATTAGAATGTGCATTTCCCTTTGTTTTGGTCAGTGACAAAACCAAAGCAGCGTTTTTTCTCTAATTCCATATGGTTTTACCAAAATCATAACCTAATGATCTTTGACTATATAGGTCTTGTTCTGTAGTAAATGTGGTTTTCATGTTACTATGAAAAAAAATCTGGAAACTTTTATGTATTTCAGCTGAAAACACAGACTAAATCACAAAAAGAAAAATTTTTCAAAGTTATGAATGGAATAGGAAGGAGATATGGAGGCAAGAGGATGATACAAAAGTAAAAGAAACAACCTCTACCTTTATAGACAAAACTAAACGGAGAGACAAACCTGGTAATAGTCCCTGACATATAGATCCCCGAGTTCTTCTTCCTGTCACGAGAAATTCTTCACGATGTTGTTGTTTGTCCCAAGGGTTCTCTGCTCGAACTCTCTCACCGTCTTCACGAGCTTCTTCATGTTGTCGTCGTAGACGTAAGGATGTTTGTTGAACAACGTCACCTTCTTCTTGGCCGACACTGGTAACAGCTCCCTGCAGAGCTCCTCGTGCACGGTTATGGTGTTATGGTAGTGGTAATAACGAATATTTGTCTCGGTTTTGTGTAGAGTCTTGCCGACCACGTTCTCGGACATGTGTACGCCTGTAGCATAAGCGTTCTTGGCCTGAATCGCGTATTTCCTGTCGCGGCGTATACCCGTTCTGGATTCCCTGAACTGCAGCTTCTCGAATCCCCATTGCCTGAAATAACCCACGAGATGGGAAAAAACACGTCTTTGATATTAATTATACATAATCATAATCATACCAGCCAAATAAATCTCTTTCCTTTTCTTGCTCTGGTAGTCAAACTACTTGTGATGGCTAAAGAACTTAACAATGGTGAAGCTTATTGCAAGATTCAATGAACTACATGAACCAGTCTCAGAGAGAGAAACAGGAATTTCTCCTACCATCAATCAACACAACCAAACAGGCATCAGCATTGTAAAGTCAGAAACTTTATAGAAATGCATCATCATCATCATCATCCAGATGAAATCTAACAGAGCATTGGCAGATCCTATCACTAAAATCTGATTCCATGCCAACCCATTTCCGTTTTCCCAGTAGAATTACTAGTGAAGCTTGAAATTCATGATTCCATTGTATAAGAAGTTTCAATAAGCTTACCCGGCGTAATCTTGAGCTGAATCATTCAAGCAGAGGACACTGGACATGGGGTTCTGTTCAATTGTGAACTGAGTGTTATCCGAGAACTCGGAGAGCACCGATTCGAGCGTGTTCCCACCGGGCAAGTAAATGTACTCATCGACGTCGAAGTAGAACGTCCAATTCGCGGCGTGTCGGTACCGATGCAAGCAGTCGTTCACGATCAGGAACTGGTTGTAGTAGTAGCCATCGTACGCGGCTTGGTCGCGAATGTCCTGAACCGTGACCCTCCCGGCTCGGATCCACGGCTCCAGAACCGCCCTGACCTCCGGTGACACTCCGCCGGCGTCGTGGAAGACGAAGTGCGACCTCTCTCCGAAGAACCACGCGTGATAAGCCATCCACTCCCGCATACGCGCCGCGCTCAGGTTTCCGTACAGCGACGAGCCGCAGTAGAGGTATTCGTACGGATACGGCGGAGAGAATCTGGATTCGTTGTATGATCCGGGGAGTTCTTCAAGCGCCGTGAATCGCTCGAACTTCCTCGGGGATTCGTCGTAGTAGGCGTTGATCAAGAGCTTACCGCCCGAGTTTCCGGCGTTAGGGTTCGTCGCGAATGTGCAATTGACGACGACGACGGTGTAGACGCGACCATAGCCCCAATCTGGGAGAATCTTGTACGCTTTAGCTCGAACCGATGATCCATTGTTAGAAATCCACTCGCACTTAAACCATGGCTTCCCGAAAACATGGATCGGCTTCGACGCCAGTCCGACCACCGCAAACGTCGTCGGACCTCCGCGGTAAGCTCCCATCAGCACGAACAGCGCCGCCGCGTTCCCAAGCGGCTGGAAAACACGCTTGTTCGGATCTGAGGGCTTCACGGCGACGGAGTAGTACTTCTGCGAGTACGACCCACTCGAATTCACCGACGCCGCGGAGGCGAGAACCGCTCAAACTTCCTCGGGGATTCTCCGTAGTAGGCGTTGATCAGGAGCTTGCCTCCAGAGTTGTCGGCATTAGGGTTCACCGCGAAGGTGCAATTGACGACGACGACGGTGTAGACGCGACCATAGCCCCAATCTGGGAGAATCTTGTACGCTTTAGCTCGAACCGATGATCCATTGTTAGAAATCCACTCGCACTTAAACCAGGGCTTCCCGAAAACATGGATCGGCTTCGACGCCAGTCCGACCACCGCAAACGTCGTCGGACCTCCGCGGTAAGCTCCCATCAGCACGAACAGCGCCGCCGCGTTCCCAAGCGGCTGGAAAACACGCTTGTTCGGATCTGAGGGCTTCACGGCGACGGAGTAGTACTTCTGCGAGTACGACCCACTCGAATTCACCGACGCCGCGGAGGCGAGGGACGTTCCGGTGGTGGTTACGGTCGCAACGGCGGCGGAGCAGGGACGAGCGGTGGAGATTAGGTTGTGGTAGTAAGGAGGAAGGTTCCAAATGAGCATGACGAGAGTGAGAGCGACCAATGTAGCGACCAAAGGCTTCGTCTCGAAGCAGACGAAGAATCTCCCGACGGCGGAGGAGGTAGTGGAGACCGGCGGGGAGGGGGGCTTCCT